TCTGTTACAACTCTCCCTAACTCTCCAGCTTTCCTGGCTTCGCTTATTTTCAACCTCTCAGCCTCTCTGGTCGTCTCGTACCATGCCCTTATCCGAGACCGCCCTTCGAAAGGTGTCACTCGGAGTACGTATTTTATCCTCCGTCCTCCTTCTATTCCAATCCAAAGTCCTGTTCCCCTAGCCTCACGCAGCGCACGGCGGACACACTCTGCCTCCTCAACTATGCACAGTCTGGTATGGAGCTGGAGCTCTACGATCACTAACACCAACGGCCCGTCCAGTCTCCCTACCACATGCAATGAGTACCAATCCGTCGTATGTAGTGCAGTCCCGCTCATGTCCTGTCGCTACCTCCCTGCGTTACCTTGTCCTCCGTCGACTCGCCCTCTGCAGACCTCCCCCTAGTTCCTTCGCGTGATACGCTCCTAGCTTTTACCCTCTCCAGAAAGTCTGATCTCCACACCTGGATAATCTCTCTCTCCTCCCTAAACAAACTCTCTAACTCTCTCGTCACGAGTTCAGCCCAACCCAACTCGCCCTCATCCTGGCACGACCAGATCTCCCTTAACTTGTTCCCCAACTCCTTTACCTGGTTCAAGAGTGGTTCTTTAATGCACTCTCTCACTCTTTCGACTGCCTCACTCTCCTCTTCCATACTCAGTCCTCATATTTTTCCAGCTCATCCTCTCACCGTCGCTCTAGCATCCGCTACCGTCTCGTCGTGGAAGTGCTCCGCGCGCATATAACCTTGTGACCATATCATCACCTCATAGGAAATCGTGGTCTGGAAGGTCACCCGCGCCAGTACATCGGCTCTATGCTCGTGGATCAAATCTCTGGCTCGTCGCCGACACTCCCTCGCCGTCAAGTCCTCGTCTACGTACGCTCGGAGAAGTACTGTCACCGTGTACCCTGCGCTTACCAGTTGCTCTCCTACACGCATCACTGTGGCCGTCTTCCCCGGCATTCCCTAAGCTGCGGCCTCGAAGAGAAACCTCACATCCTCTAGCCCTACGTAATCGATCTCCGCCCGTCTCCTGCAGTACGTAATCAGATCGACTGGCCTCAGACAGTCCACCCAGCAAGTAACGTTTTGATGTCGTCAAGCGTCTCTCTACTAGGCGGTCCCCACCTCACACAAATGGCGTAGTATACTTCCCTGAAACGGGGCGCCATGCCCTCCCAGAGCGCGTAAAGTGTGTGGTCCACTGCTCTACTCAAACGTTCTACGCTCCCAAAGGTCTGCCCTATCACGAAGGCAGGAAGTCCGAATCGCCAATCCTCTCTCGGGTAGAGGGTCGGATGTGGTGGACCGTATACCAAGCGGCTCCAACGCGTCCTCCCTCCAGAGAGTCTCGCCAATTGCTAATTAACGATCACTCTGGCCAACGACTCGCTTCTCCACCAGGCCCTGCTTGCTCCTGCGAGCGTCAGTCCTTCTTCTAAATCGTGCGCTTTATCCGCTATCAGATGTCCGACCCCTTCTAGGTCATGAGTCCTCTCGGGTCGTTCATCTCTCAGTATCACTGTCCAAAGGAAGAGTCCCTCTGCGAGCCACGTTCCCAGGTATYGTATCGGAACACGCMCTGTCCCYTCTAACRYCACGGGAAGAGGAATGTCGTATCCAACCGCCGTCTCTCTGGGTCCCACAAGCTTCCTCACGCTATACGATTCAGACTCTCGTGAGAGAACATAAGCTAACCAGGCTACTGAGTCACTCCTCATCTCCCGTCGACTCTCGATCAGCATCACTCTTCTCCCTCCGACGCACCCTATCTCTCGACGTTGCTAACTCCTCAGTCAACTCTCCCACTCAGGTCCAGTATGGTCGAGTAGGTGTTGTGCGCTCTCCCGTCTGCTCCATGGAAGTAGATAGTAAACTCGACGTACCTCTGGCTCCTCCGTATCTCCAGGGCATGTTCCGTCATGAGTCTGATCTGTCACTCAACAATCTTTAACGCCTCTCCTTCCCAGCTGCCCGTCCTATCTCGTCGTAGGGAAAGAGTCACCCTCAATATATACCGGTCTGCCATACTCTCCACTACTCCCTTCTCTAAACCTCACTCGGATTTGTCCTGACTCTAGTCGTCTCATGCATCTAGCATATCCTCGTCTGTATCCTCATCTACCCTCTGCCCCCATGGGATGTCCTCCTGCCCCTCGGCCTAAAGGAGATGGCCCCAGCCGTCCTCCTGCAGCGCCTCTCCACCTACCTGCTCCTGTCCCTCAGACCGCGCCAGATCTCCCCAGTCCTCGTCCTGGTCGCCCCAAGGGTCTATGTCATCGAAGTCCTCCCAATCCCGATCCTCGGCGTACCACGCAAGATCGTCACCCACTGGATATACCTGTTGGTAATACTCCTCAACCTCCCCGGTCGAGATGAGATGGCCCGGCCTCTCCTCACGAGTCTCGGCTAACAGTTGTCCCACTCCAGCTAAATGATTAGTTGGCCTCCGAGCCTCTCTCTCTAGCACCGTCCAGAAGGCTAGGGGCTGGTACAGAGAACACAGGTCGGGGCTCCCGGTAGGTACAATGGCCCGCAGGAACTCAATCAACTGGAGCCCTCGCTCGCCTACAAGCGGCCCTGCTACAAACTGCGCATACAGCACCCAGTCCCTGTCATCGTACCCTCGGCAAAGGCCGTCCAAGTCAAGAGCCGCAAAGTAGATGTCACCCAGACGCTTAAGTCCCCAAAGCTCCTCTGCCACAAAGCACAGAAGTGTCTCTCGCAGTCGACTGCTAGGATACGGGAAGTGGCCTCCAATCCTGAAGGTCGTCGTCACTCTCCGAACTCCCCCGTGCAGCCGCTCTACCTCGCCGCGCGCGGAGTCTGCTCTAGCCAGTAAGACCCTCCTTGCGGCCTGCTCCTCTCGCCAATGATCGTGTACGAGGCCCTGAAAATAGACTGTAGCTAGCACCTCCGGCGAGTAATAAATTTGGCCCACTACCTCTATACTAGTCGTGCCAGGTCGTCGCCACCCCTGACTGTCCAACTTGAATGTCTCAATGACGTACGTCCACAAATGTACGTCTGGGGCCAACACCGTCGATGACCATCGGCTCTCTATCGCATCCGTGGAAACCCCTCTGGCCGGCAGATCTAGCGCCACTCTGCCTGTCGCTACTATCTCTGGAGGTCTAGGCCACCTGGCGTCATTGATCTGAAGCTCTACTCCACCGTCCGGCTCTACCATCGATCCTCTATCCACTATCGGCCGATATCAGTAGCTAAGCTCACTCAACCGTCGTCCCAATGTGCTCCTCTGCCTCCTACGCCCGGACTGCTACTCCTATCATGGGGAAATGGGCATCCGTAACGTCGATCTCCTCCTCGTCAACCTCACTCTCTGGGTCGACCCAGTCTGGCTCCCAAGCGCCCTCATCGTCGTCTCGCTCCCAACCCTCGTCGTCAAACTCGTCCTCGACGCGGTATGGCGCCTGTCCTATAGCCTGGTAGTACTCCGCTAACTGATGGCCGTATATCAGAGGTCGCCCGGCGTCCTCACTCCACCAGCTCCCCCAGTCGTCTGAGAAGAGCCGTCCGATGCAGGTCACGTACTCGGGGCCTACTCGAAGCTCACGGTCTAGCCAATCCCAAACGCACGGAGACTGGGGCCACTCGTCGTCTATCGAACGGACCATCTCTATAAGTTGAACCCTCTCGTCACCCCAACGAGGCCCACCGGTCGCGAGCGAATAATAGATGTAGTCGAGGTCGGCAGGCCTTCTCGCCAGGATCTTGAGATCCTGATAGGCTAGGTACGTCTCGACCACTCCACCAATACCTCCAAAGATGCTCTCTACTACGAACGTCGGAACTATCGCCCGCAGACTCCTAATCCTATACGGGAAAACCCCATCCCGTGCTACCACCAGCTTGCCCGTGATATCTAGAGGAGGGAGTCCGTGAAATAGGGTCAACGGGTCGCTCAAGTCCTCCGCTCGGAAGGCAACTACCTCTTCCCTCAGGTAGCGTAACGCCCTGCTAACCACCCCACTAGTCCCTGTCGTCGCGAGGCCCACCACGGCCTCCCTCACCGCGCCCGGTCCTAAGTACAAGTAGGCTCTTACTACGCCCACTCCTTGCTCGGGCCGGTGCTCTCTGTGCGTCCAAAGCCACACGTCCTCGGACAAGATTATGGACCTCCACGCAAACTGGCCGTGAACGTGTCGAACGCTGCGCCCGGGGATCGTAAGCTC